ACTTCAACCGCAGCGCAGGAAGTTGGGGGCTTTGAAGATGAAACACTGTCAGCAGCCTGAGGGGGTGTTTGGTTTCACCCTCACCACACTGGAGGTCTTCACCGAGACAGAAGCCCTCCTTATTAACAGAAACGGATGATTCAGGATTAAATCCATTGATTCAGATTTCTGCCTGCTCAGCGTTCCTATTGTCTGGATTAGCAGTGAATAAATCTGTCACAAGCTCACAGTAAATCATCATATCTCTTAAATCATAATTCACAAGACGTTTGTGGTAAATCTGTCTGAAGAGATCTKCTTTCTATTGGCCTGCATCCTTTTCTTCTGGCTTTTCTTCTGATGTTTATAGGCTGTAATGTAAACAAAAGGTGATTCATTTCGCATTTATTTGGCAGAATGTAGACATTTTTAAATGTTATTGATGTATTTCGTTTATTAAAACAAGAATAACCTATAAGCAACAAAATACAAAATAAAACACAAGTCATGAATGAAAGGGAGCAGAGAGAAGAAAAAAATTGAAATGCATCTGCCCCCTCCAAAATAAATGAATTCAAATAATAATAAAAGTAATACAATAATTTAAAGACTCCAGATTGAACATTTGTAATATTTGCAAATAAAACCATATAAGATGTCTTAATAACTTACATGATACTGTTATTATAAGGCTTTATTATTTAATAACGTTTTTCTTTATTTAACAACGCAGTAGTCTTTGCAATCTTTATTCTTAACGGATGTGAAATGTTGTATCAGCCTCTCATCAACGATGAAACCCAAAAATAAAATTTCTTTGACTTTGAATGTCAATACCATTAACTCTGAATGGGACTTTGATATTTTTATTTCTGTTATACGACTTCGACTTCAACAATGACATTTCGGCAACTTGTCTTGGAGTTGTATTAAAGTTTGACTGTTGGACTGGAGTGTAAAAACGTATATTTGTCAGTTAAAAGAGTAACGCTCCGATTTGTTTGTGGTTCAGCTCATCTCCTATTGTTTATTTCACGTATTGATTGGTTTCATGTGTTAATGTTTTTGTCCAGTTCCCTGAGACGACAGTCGTTGTGACTTGATCATTATTGGTGTATACAAAGCAAAAATTCAGTCTCACAGGGTTTATTCTTGGCAGCACGGCGGCTCAGTGGTTAGCGACGCCTCACAGCAAGAAGGTCCTGTGTTTGATCCCCAGTTTGGACCTGGGGTCTTTCTGTGCGTTTGCTTGTTCTCCTCGTGCTTCTGTGGGTACTCTGGTTTCACCCACATCCTAAAAACATGTACAATAGGCCCAGACCTCCTTTAAAAAGGAGATCTCCAATCTGAACGGGATTTGCCTGGTAAAACAATAGTAAATAAATAAATTCTGCTCTCAGGCACATTGTTGATGACATCCAATGAGAGGTCTCAATGAGAACCTGAAGTCTTGTTTATAAGAGAAGAGGAAGACCCTTGAATCGAACCCCACCCCTCATGAGAAGGTCATCATTATCAGCGCTGCTCTTTAGTTTCTGTTCTGCTAAAGAAGGCAACAGATTGCAGAGTCGTGGTAAACCCCTGAAGGCTTCAAATCCTGTCTTTACTGAGAAACAGAAAGAAGCAGTTGTTGCTTCACGCGCTGAGAGGAAAGCAGATTTCTGACTCAAACCAAACTGAAGTGCCGTTGTTGATTGTCAAGTCTCATTGTTGTATTTTTACGCCATCTTGTGGAACGAATCACACCATGAAAAACGTGTTCACACGTGATCGACACCTCCTTCTCTCCCCTCCTTCTATCACACTCACTCATACAACTATTTGCTTCCTCTGTGATGCTGCATTGTGCTTCACAGTTTCGTAAACATCATCTCCCTGCGCTTTGTCTTCATCCACTGTTTGTGTTTCCAGGTTCTTTACCAGCAACAACCTATTCTTGCTAAGTTCACAAAAATTCTTCCAACCTTTATGCGTCTGATCAATTGTTTTTGCATGAATTTATGCGTAATCAACATGTGAATTTGTGTTTTAGCATCAACAGAAATTGCTGATGGAATRAAAACTTTGTGATTTGCCATCAGTCAGTGTGTGTTCTCTGCAACATAGCCAACAGAAGAAAAAAGAAGCTGTTTTTATTACATGAGTGTTTTRAGCAGAGCAGACAAAACAAAGGATGATGTAATGTTTAGCATCCGACTCCATTTGCCCAGAAGCGTTGGTTTGGGCGTTTAGCTGTGCTTCATCCTGCACAGCAGAGGTGGGAGGAAGAACACAGACTGATGGGTAGGGAAGAGCAGGAAAGCCCTTATTGCCATGGAAACTGAGAAACCGACTCTGTTAATAAAACGCCGCTTCAACAAAACAGCTAAGAAGCATTTGGGGAATGGGATTCCTGCGCAAACCACCACCCACAATGCAAACAAATAGTCAGTAAAAAACAAGATAACTGCAGATTTATGTTGATTTTTTTTAGCCATTTATCATATATCCACTCTTATTCTTTACCATTGTTTTCATTCAGTCACAGGGACACAAACAACAGACAAACATTCATACTAATCACACTTAGAAGGACAGTTTAGTTACCAATTAACCTAACATGCTTGTTTTTGGTCTGTGGGAGGAAGCCGGAGCATTGCATGCAAACTGCTCTGTTTAATGGGATTGTGTTACAGATTTAGGAGGTTCATGTCAGTGTGTTGAAGAAGACACTGACTCTGTGTGTGTGTTTCACACTTATTACCTGCATGTTTACAGTCACATCATGAGGACTTGGCTTTTCTTGTCTAAAGGAAATGAGCCCCAGGAAGCTGTCTCTCTCTCTCTCTCTCTCTCTCTCTCTCTCTC